ATACAAAAAAAAATTAAAATTAAACAACAAAAAAATTAATTCTTAAAACTTGTCAAAATATTATGCGCTTATAGTTTTGACACGGGCTGTGTGTATGCAACTATTGAAGCGTAATGCGATATAATAGTGACGCATTTAAATGGCAAACATCGAATGGAACAACTTGAATGAAAAACCCTTGTGTTAAAGAAGGGAGGAGGGACAGAAAAAGAGCAGTGGCTTATCGGCCAGAATAAAGCATTATCAGTAGATACATAACTTTTAAGCTTTTCCAAAATCGGTAATGATTATTTTTACACTCTCGTTAATAAATAAATCAGTAAAAAAAAACTCGCAATACAAAGAGCGTGTGCTCGAAAAATGTATTTTCGAAAGTATGATCAGAAATGGAACACTAGTTGTGTTTTTTTTGATTTCTCGCAATAATAAATAATAGCTTTTGTTGATTGATGCGGTGTTTTTTTTTTTTTGATACAAACTGTTTACTTTGAATTTTTTTGCATATATTTTTTTATTGCTTGACTGTTGCTACAAGATCCTCCGCTACTACTCTACTGTGTACACATAAATGCATACCAGCAATTGTTATGAGAGCAAAAATTGACTCATTGCTGGTGATATATAAAAGCATGCCGGGTGTATGACTTCTCAATTCTTCACTTGATTTACAGCCAGCTGGACGTGCCGAGCGTTGAATGCTTTATAAAATTTTTTTTTTTTAATTTATTGCTTCACACCAAGCACAAAAACGAATCGCGTACACGTTTTGTCCTTAATTGGGTTCATATTTTATGTGTGTAAGTGTTTAATGTGAATAATTGTTAAAACTTAAAATGAATTTTGTTCTTGTAATTACTTGCACTGGTAGATATAAAAGTATAGTGCGCAAGTTTGGGAAGCCAGAGTGAATGTTATAAACAAATTGGCTTCAAAGCGTCATGGAACTATTTGCTAACAACAAAGTCATATTTATAGAAGTGCGCAGAAAAGTGAAAAATATATGTATATAAATAACAAAAATATTATGAAAACAGTTGTGTGTGTATACATATGTAGGTACGTGTTCGAAAGTTTATGTTTTGCTGAAAAACGAAACATTTTGAAACCAGCTAAAAACCATTTGTGTTTTTCACAAACGAAAACAACTGCAACTGAACGTAAACAACTTTTCAATTTTTTATCTGTAATGGTCGAATTTTTACTACGCAGCTAACAACTGACAATGTTTCAACTATAATATATTATGTATTTCAAATCCCATGCCCTAATCAATTCAAAAGATGAGCCCTTTTCACAGCTTTTTACCAGGCTTATAGTACTTAGATAAGTATTTATCTATCCAAATTGCCTGTAGTGTTTTGTACTGCTCATTTACCACAGCTATTTGCATATTTTTTTTTTTATAGCAATTACATGCGGCTACATGAATGCATGTACAGATATGTGTGTATTGTAAGTTTGCTATACGTTCGCACATTAGGCATTCAGAATGCAATAGAAGTGGTGGCAGCTGAACAATTGCACTTCCGTGCAAGTAGCATTTTATGTTTAAGAACACCGCTCGTAATCGCAAACAAGTAGGTAAATGCGACAAAAAACCAAATGCATACATAAGCGTGCTGCAAAAGCGCATTTATAAATTACTTTGGGTTCTACAGATAAATATGCTAATTTAGTGTTGCCTTCAACTTGCGGCACAGTTGTGGCAGTGTTGCTAGTTAATTACTTCTTCAGCGAATGAATTTCATTTAACTTAAACTTCCAAGCCAATGCACAAGATGGGTACATAGCTGGGTATACATATATATATGTATATATATGTATATATGTATGAATGTTTATGAAGAAGACGAGTTGCCATTTGAATATGTATAGCTCACATATTTCATACTTTCTTACTTTATTCTTAAAACTAAAGTTTTAAATTTATGTAAATAAACTTTCGCGATGTTTCCATAGCGAGTCAAATTTTTTTTTTTTTGTACTGTAAGCAACCTGTGGCAATAACTGTGGTTTTTACTCATCTTTTCAGTGGATTTGTTTCGGTAACTTTTTAATTTAGTCGCGACAGCCGCCAGATATTCTGTTGCGTATGGAAAAACTTTGAATTGCCTCTTTTGACTTTGTGGCGTTGCGCTTGTTACATGTGTATAAATGCCTACGCCAAAGGCTAATGGAAAAATGGAAAGCAGTATGTAGTTGTATGAAACACTGTAAAAGAATATGCATTCGTGTACTCAAACTCTGATTTTCAATAGAGGAGGCATGCATACTTGTGCACGCAATCCTTAATGGAAATTTATTGTCTTAATTTTTCTGATATTTTCTAAGCAAATACATATGTGTACATATCGCCAGCTTAGAGTGGAAAGTTCCTAAGTTAAATTTTTTAATTTTACGGAAGAGGGAAAAGCTTTTTATACCCATTTCCTTTAAGTATTTTGCAAATCTTTAAATACATTTTGCATGTTAAAAGCTAAGCAAAACTTCATACGAATAAGAAGATTGTGTAGATAGAAAAAATAGTATAGCCAAGTGATTAGCTCAGAAAACTGCTTTTCTCTTTTCTTTAATGCAATGCGGGCCAAAACGTGCCTTCGTGTTTTCACACGCTCGGCGCCACACTTATGCCATTGTGATAGTAATTATGTGACCGGAATTCCTTTAAAGCATTTCAGCAATCAAGAAAAAATTTAAGCATGCCCCCTTGCATCTTCTCTTAAGTATTGTGGAATTTATAGGAAAAATATTTTGAAGTCCTTTGAAATTATAATTTGCATTTTTTTTTTATTTTATGACCAAGTAGCGGCTGTGACCGGATGACACGACAGTCCGACGCTTTGAGTGCTGAATGTTTTCCCTTAATTTCTTAATTCTCATAACATTTGCGGCCACCAAATGGTTCAGCACTAACAGTTAAACGTTGTCAAAAGATGTTATTACAAGGTTGTGGATTCTCTCATACGGAGTGGAGGCAGTCTACTTTCAACGATTCCTTTTTAAGGAACTCTAGAAGTTTGAAGAGCTACTCAGAATAGTTTAAATTTTTGTTATAAAATGTAACTTTTTCGACGTTTTTTTCGGCGTAATTTTGTAGAACTTTCTTCTCCTTTTCAGGAACTCTAGAGCCTTTAAAAAGCTACTCAGAACAGTTTTAATTTTTATTTTTTTTCAAAAACTAAAGTTTTCGACTTTTTCGAAAAACAAAAATGTTTTTTCGGCGTGATTTTGCAGAACTTTCCTTTTCCTTCGCAAGAACTCTAGAATTATTGAAAAGATACTCAGAACAGTTTTACTTTTTATTTTTTCACAAATTTAACTTTTTCGACAGTTCGGAAAAAATGTTTTTTCCGCGTAATCTGGCTGAACTTTTTTTCCATCTCAGGAACTCTAAAACTATTGGAAAGCTACTCAGAACAGTTTTAAACTTTATTTTATGTTTTTTTTTTTCAAAATTTAACTTTACGACCTTTTCGAAAAAAACGTTCTTTTTCGCGTTATTTTGCGGAACTTTCTTTTTTCCTTCTCAGTAACTCTTGAACTATTGAAAAGCCCCTCAGAACAATTTTTTATTTGCCTTTTTGCCACATGTCGTATGTGAATCTGGCATACATACACAAGTTTTGAAATTTATTTTTTTTTTTGTCAAAATAATCCGAACTTTTTTTCCCTTTTCAAGAACTCAGAACAAGTTTTTTTTTGTGGTTTTGCATCATACCGTATGCCAACTTCCGAGACGTCGTCGAGTTTGAATTTTGAAACCAAACCATATTCAGTTAAAAAACTATAAACTACCTTTCCAATTACGTTTTTTTTCGAGATAGAATTTCAAAAGGTCTGGAAGTTACGAGTTTTTGAAGCTACGCCAATAAACGAAAACACAAACTACTCAAGGAAAACTGAATTCCCAGTTGGCCTGATAATGCGGATAGACTTTTTGCCTTCATTTTGTTTCATAGTCGTTTGTAACAATCGTCAGTGCGTATGAGTAACTTATGTATGTAAGTCGTCCGCATGCAGAATATTGCGTATACGACGTGTAGAACACATAAATATGTACTGAGAAAATATGTATACATCGATATATACATCCTACATAGCCTTAGCGCCAAAAGCTCAAAGAAAGGTAACCTTGCTAAGTCCAAAAAAAGCACAGAAAATGCGGTTATGCAAAAATAATACCAAAGGTTTTAGATAACCTCGAATCCTTCTGATTTACAGTGCGCCTTGCTTTGTTTTAGAGAGGCAAAATATTATATTCCAAGTCTTTCAAAACACTTGAAGAAACATGCTATACGACTATATTTTCCTTTCCCGTCAACTTTGTAAAAATCGACTTAGCAACTTTTTACTCTTACCTATGTCCAGAGTTTTAACTATATTTAATATATATAAATAATATATTGGCGCTTACACATACATATGTTAGTGTTTGGCCAAGCTTCTCCTCCGACTTGTGGCGTGCGTCTCGATGTAGTCACACAAAGCGGAGGGATCTACAATTTTACGCCGACTCCGAACAGCGATTGTATTTTTATGAGAAGCTGTTTTTCATGGAGGGACGACCGCTGTTAAGAAAAAACCTTTTTTCTATATTTTTTTTTGCGATGCTGCTTTGACCAGTGTTTGAACCCAGGTGCTGTGCGGAGTGGAAGCGCGCACTGCTTACCACAACACCACACCGGCCGCTAACTATATTTATTATGCTTAAATTTACAAGAAATATACATGCATACATAGTTTTCATTTATGTATATTGTTCATATTTATAAAAAAAAAACTATTTCTATATTAAAAACATGTTTACTTATATTGAGTAATCTAATGTATGTAGTTATTTTTCAACATTTCCTTGCAGAGGCAGCATACAATAATCAACTACAAACTTTTGACACCTATATACGTATGCAAACTTAGCCGCGCGCCCACTTCCGTCCTTTTACAAACACTGAAGTTGAAAAGTACATAGAGATTGCAACTCATAAACTTACATACATACATACATAACTTCATACGCACAGCGCTCACAGTGATGTCCTGGTTTAGTGGCATAACTGCGTCGTATGTCAGTGACTTCCGGTGTAAACGGAAGTTTCACGGCTATTTGTTTCTGGCATGTGCTTTACTGTTGATTGTGGTGCCAGTAAATTCACGTCCGAAGGAGACGGAGAGCGATGTTGTCGTACCTGTGGAAGATGGACTACCACTGAGCGAGGAGTATGGGGATGCCGATAACATTGAGGTGGGTTATAAACATACATACATAGTCTACATACATATGCACCCAATAAAAAAGGCATGCCAATATTAACCGCAGTGTACATACATGCGTCTGCATAAGTTTTAGTTGGTAACACAAAATTAAAAAATTTCATTTTGTCTTTGTGTAGTTTCATCAAGCTAAAATTGTGAACGGCATTTTGAAGGAGGATCATCCGGTTATTATGTATAAAGAGGACTTTGTTAGCGAAGATTTTGGTAAATTTCGTAAAATAAGAACGCGACGGTTCAATGAAAGCATTTAATTTTTTTTCCATTTCACCTACAAAACAGTACCGAAAAAGAACAACACTCATCGCCAGCGTAAACATAAAGATCCAGCTCATCGGCGACGTCGCATTGGTGATCACTTAAGCGCTGAGAAATATCATCCCTTGGAACCGGAAAAAATTTATTTCGATATATTATCGCCTTCACCGCTCGTTACTTCTGATGAATCGAAAGCTGCATCATCGAAGTTGCACGTCGAAGTCATCTCTTTGGCTGATGCCGATTCAAAAATGGTGCAAAGCGATGATGAAGTGAAGCGTGTGCTCCATAAGCGACCGAAAAAATTCCATCATCGTCGTCAACGTCGTGATGCGGACACAATTTCGCAGAATGAACATATTCTGCGCAAACGCAATCCATACTATAGCTTTAGAAAGGTGTCCACCAATGCCAATAGCATAAGTGGACCAGCGCATATAGCCAATTATTACTTGCCAAGTTATCCACCAGTTAAACGTTTTGAAAAGTAAGTATGTATGTAAATATATTATGCAGGTTTAATATTTACTAGCTATAATTTCAAGTTTGTTAATCGAATTGGAATAACGGAAATATTAGCAAGTTAACCTCTTTATGGTGAAAAAAATACGAAATCTCCAAATCGATTCATTATCATATTCTCTACTACTAGTGGTATTCCTTGACAAAGATTCCGTTGGTTCAGGTGCAGATGAAGTGGCTGCATAAATATTTAGAACCAGCGGTATCGTTGTGATGCTGCTTGAGGGGCTTTTTGCATTCCTATACGTACGTACGTAGTTAGAAATTCATCAGCGCCTGCTGCGCCTAGGTACACCAGACAATAAAACAATAAAGTTGAAATCTGCGTCCTCTAGACCCCACTAGGGCAGAGCAGTGCCTAGGATCTCTATTGAGATACAAATTTAGGTATAGGAAATGTTGAGAGTGGGATAGCGACCGAATTAGGATTGAGAATAAGATTAAGGTAAAGACTCAGATTAAGATTAAGATTGAGATTAAGGTTGAGATTATGATTAAGATTAAACTAAAACTAAAGATTAATTTGATGATTAAGATTATGATAATGATTAAGATTAATCAAGCAGGTTCTGCAATTCAATTCCGAGTGCATTTCAACCAAAGTACTTTGAAGCTTATATTGAAATTCGCTGGGAAATGAATTGCAGAACCTGCCTGAATATTAAGATTACGATTAAGACTAAGATTAAGACTAATATTAGGATTGAGATTAACTTTAAGATTAAGGCTAAGTTAAAGACTAACGTTTAGGTTAACATTATGATTACGATAAAAATAAAGAGTAAGATTAAGATTAATATTAATAATAACGATTGAGATTAATAATTCGATGAATATTGCTCTAAGGTCTAAGTTTTATAATAAGAATAAGTTGAATATAATTGTTCTTTATACTCCCGAAATGATCTCAAACAAGTCTTGAAATGATCCTGAAATGGTGATTTACAAGCCCCAAAATGATTTCGAACTAGTCACTAAATGCTCCTGAGCTATTTCCAAAATTATGCCGAACTAATTCCGAAATGTTCCTAAACTAGTCCTTAAATTGTCCTGTAATATTTTTGTGAACTAACCCTAAATTAGAAAAAGTATTTTCTAACAGCGATCGCCCCTCGGCAGCCAATGGCAAACCTCAAGGTGTATTTCTGCCATGAAAAAGCTTCTCGCGAAACCCATTTGCCGTTCGGAGTCGGCTTTAAACTTTAGGTCCTTCATTTCATGTAAAAACATCAAGACGCATCCCACAAAATGGAGGAGAAGCTCGTCCAAACGCTTACCAAAAGTGAAAGCGCCATAATATTATTATTATCCCGAAATAGTCTTGAACTAGTCCTGAAATGAAACCAAAATAGACCTGAGCCAAACCTGAACTCGTCCGAAAAATTTCCAGAACTAGTTTCAAATGATCCAAAACTAGTGCTGAAAGGTCTAAAAAGAGTTCTGAAATGATACCAAGCTAGTCTCGAAATAGTCCTCAACCAGTCAGTAAGAAGGCCCTATATGGACCTGAAATAGCCCTGAACTAGTCCAGTAAGGTTCATTTGTACACACCAGAAGCAGTTACAAATTTGCTGCTGGGCTAACGAAAATTCCACTCACACCGAGAGCTAAGATGCTTATACATGAAAAATGCATTAAATGCACTAAATTATAGAATGTTAGATTGTGAGGCTATTTAACCCCTAATTTAGCTCGTAGCGCTTTAAAAACACATTTGTTTAGTTCACTATAAAATACAGAATATTTCTAACAATCTAATTTTGCCTTACATTATCTCCTCTCAGACATCCAGTTCCTGGCGATTACTTTAACGGCCCTGTTAATGTCATTCAGTTTGCGTCAAGATTTGGTGGACCCTCCAATACTGATCGCGTAATTTGGCGTGATTATACACCAACAAGAAATCGTGAGTTAAAATAAAACTTTATTCTTAAACGAATAGCTTAGCACCTGGTACTAACCGCCATCACCTTGCAGCAAATCAACGTTTAAATATCACGATTGGAGCGCCAGCACCGCTTTTTCCTAAGCGCACCTCGCCCTCACCATTACCAGCAGTAAGTAAGTGCCATAATATAATAATTATCCTAAATCTGTGTTCTTTTTCTTAATATCTAATTTACACTTTCTTTAATTCTTCGCCACTTATATAGCAGCAGGACCCCCTAGCCGAACAACTGCTCAACCAAGCTTCGCTAATGAGGGATCTGTTCATCATTCCGTAATCACCGATGCGCCCGCCCAATATCCAACAGCAGCTCCACCAAAACCACCATCTTCCTCCACGGCCTGCGTTTGGGCTATCGCTAGCTGCTGCTCGCCAAACGATCGGACTGTGCGGTATAGTTGCTTCGAACGCTATGGTTGTAATTTAGTCTTTTTCGATTTAAATCCTTGCGCAGATAATATTCGCGATAATATCGTTGGATATTTGAATCAACAATTCGAATAAATTTCGAAGAGTATTTATTAGGCGTATGGGAGTTTTAATTTTCACAAAAAGCATTTATTAACCATAGTTTTTATTTAGTTTGTAAGCTTAAGCTATTTTTAAAGAGTTGATTACTTTTTGTTTTAATTTATAATACTTTTCGTGCACCTTTTTTTTATTTAATGTAGGTTTTAGTTTATGAATATAATGAATAATTTTTTTTAAAGATGTTATTCTAACTGCCTTAAACGTATATTAGATAAGTGTGCTTTAAAATTTTAAGTGAGATAATAACGAATAAAACTTGTAAATCTACTCTTGTTCATAAATAATTTTCGTTTAAGATAGCTTGAGAATTTTCTTGAATGTCTGTAGAGCAGAGTTAGTGTGAACCTAAAAATTTTAAATGTTTTTCAGAGCTATTAAACTTTTAATTTCAAACAGGAAATTTAATTAATTAAAAAATGTGGTGGTATGTTATCAAAGTACGCATATAATTTCAAGCCTTTGGCCGCCACGGTTGGTTCGGAATTCCAATTTTCTACCAGTTTTTCAAGAAGTGGTTTGCATAATACTGTCTTCCAAGGCGCCCAAAGTTTCCTCAGAGAAAGTAATGTAGAGAAGTTTAAGGTCGCGACCAATTCACTTGCCCACTTCCAGAAATAACGCGTTCACCAAATGTTTCCTTCAATAAATTGATTTGCCCTCGGCTGTCTTCTTCAGTCAACATTCCCTTCAATTATGCCACGTAATAATCGGCAATCATGTGCCTACAGCTCACCTTTGAGAGTAACATTTCTCATTTTTTTAATAAGTAAGGGCCAACTATTCTACCACTTGCACTCAACCTTCGAAATATAGCAATTATGCTTACTGACATGCTAATTGAATCAAAAAGGAGTCTCCGCACTGATTAGAACAGGGATTCTTAAACTTTTAAGATGATAAAACCCTTACTAAGCCGCCAATTTACTGTCAAAAATTTTTCATGCACATACAACTTGTATGGGACCAACCGAGATTGAACGGCGTGCGTATGAAGCTAACTCAATTTCTAATTTTTGTTCTGCGTGACATTTTGATTTGACGTTTCGCTCAATGGCATCAAATGCAAATGCAAGCAAGCCAATTTCGGGTGACGCAAAAAAAAATCGAAGGCGTGTGTGTGTCAGAAAATGCGAAAAACTATTTCGTGGCACATGCTAATCATATGGGCAAGGGAGACCTTACCTTTTCTTTTCAACAAATTATAACACAGACTCGCTCGAGCTTTTGCTTAAAGGTAAATAAAAGCTCTGCGTACATTTTAAGTGTATAATTTCAAAAATGAAAAATTTTGAGTTGTGCCACGTTTGAAGATAATGTGTGATCTATTATGATACTCATAATAATTATATGTGTCTAAAATCATTTCTCATGATTTGCATACTGAAATTTGTAGGCTGCAGCAAATCGCGCCGGCTAAGCTGATAACTATTCAAAATATTTATTTTAGCATTAATGAAAATATAAAGGCCAACCTGTTGCTTGTACGTACATACAACGCAAAACGTTTGTGCATCACTTGTCCTTTTAATACATAGCAGTTATTGGGTTTAATGTACAAATTGAGTTACATTACAATTATCATGTAAAATTGAATCACGCCTGTCTAGCACGGCTAGCGATTATAGCATCTCTCCTACACATAAATCTATGTACAGTATGGCCTCTATATTACGCTAATGAGAGTGAGCTTATCGCTGGCCCATTCTGAATCGTTGAAATGTGAGATAGGCAAAGTTGTGCGGCTGCGAATCGTTTGGCCCATTCATTTTGCTGCGAGCATAGAAAGCTCGTTAGGTTGTTAGTGTTAGTGTTAGGTTAGCCTGGATGGGAGTAGCTTAGCGTGCGCCAATTACGCTGTAGTGATGTTGTTGTCAATTCGGCTCACCTGCTGTAGAGGTGCAGCTGCAAAGGGGCGGCATACATATATACAGTTTAGAGTGAGTCGAATTAAAGGTGGGACGTTATTAAGAAAATTTGAGAGAAGAGATAATGTGAAACGTAAATGGAATGCAAATTTACGCAAATGTGCGTTATCTTCTTGCATATGTATGTGTGGATGTATGTATGTATACAAGTAATTTCAGGTAGGATAGCTATTCGTAAGATCGTTTTTCCAGTATGATGCGCTAAGATATTAAACTTTATATTTCCGCGTTATTTTCGGGGTTAAGAAATTAATATGTTGAACAAGTCATAATACACATTTAAAAAATATGCAGTGATTAGATCAAATTATTACAAACATGATTTAATCTATTCACTGGATTATTTTTTTGACGTTGCGGATGCCAAGCCCAGATCACAACCCCTTAAATCAGCCGATTTAATTTTTGTCAAATCAATTTGTCACTAAAGTGTCATTGTTTTTTAATTTTTTTCACAAAATTTCAAAATATATATGTAATTTTATGTAACACATTTTTATAAAAAGAAGCGATTGAAAACCATCTTTTGGAACGCTCGTTCAACTAAGGGGCACAAACGCTGATTTTTGGGCGTTGCAAAGGATCGATGCTCTCCGACACACATATGTTATGTAAAAGTAATCAAATAGAGCTTAATTTAATTAACACGGTGTATAAATTTGCACACAGTAAGGGCCGATTTCTGAAGTAGCCTATGTCTAAAGTTCAGCATTTATATTATCGGTTTTTAACACGATAAAACCATAGTAAGTTCTCTCAATTCGTCGGCTATGATTTTTTTAAAGAGTGTCAACATAGTAAAAAAATACTTGTAAAAAGGAATTGTTCAAAGTTGTTGTTGTTTGAGATTGAAAATGAGAATATGTGTGTGAGTTTGTGTGTAAAATTTTAAAACTAAATTGCTTGCAAACGTCAAGAATTTGATAAATTCCTCTCTGCGGTTCTACCATCTTATTTGTTATCATGGCTTTTTAATGTATGTATCTTTCTTGGTTTTTAATGCAACCTTTAAATATAAAGTGAGCTTAAAAGTTACAGGTTACTTGAGAAAACGACCCCAAGAGAGGAAACTGGCCAATAAAAAAGAACACAATTATTATTATACTAATGTTACTTTTTGTTGATAAAATAAATCCCCATTTACACATAGTTATTCATAAAAAAAAATTGGAATGATTCATTCATTTCTCAAAAAGTAGCCTGTCGCAAAGTGATTTATATGCAGCTTATGGAGAATTTCGTAAGCTTTCATTTGCAATGCTTCTTATTAAGGTTGTTCAATTGGTTCGTAAGATATACATGATTAAGTGGAAAAACTTTTTTAGCTGAATTACGGTAAGTTGGAAATATCTCGAAAACCTATCCGCAGAAAAAAAACTTAGCTTACAGACTAAAATCCACTGTTCCTCAAATGTAACGACATCGACCATCTCTACTACATCAGCAGTGGATTGAGCTATTCATGAATTATTTTTGCTGAAAACCAGTGTTATTTGTAATAAGTACATATGTATAAACGGATGATCGACTGGCCGTCTACTTTTAAAACAGTGTTTCTTGCATTCACGAAGACGGGGACTACTGGAATATTTTAAGCTGGGGATTTTTTTGCCAAAATTAAAAAAAATATCATAACTCAATTTTTTTTTGGAAATCGGAATTTTTTACAATAAATAATATTTAAGACATTTGTTTAAGAAAAAATAGATTTTTACGAAAACCCATATTCTAAAAAAAACGGTTTTTTTTTAAGGAAAAAAATATGCTAACCGAATTAGAAAAGAAATCACCAACCTCAGAAATAAGGCTCTTTTGGAGAAAAAATATTTCCAGTAAAACTATTTCTTCTGGGAAAAAATTATTTCTTTAGAATAATTTGGAAAATATCTGTAGGAAAAAAGCTTTGATAAAAAAATTTTTTTTATAAAAAGTTAATTGTTCCAGGTAAAAATATATGAGATTACAAATTTGTTATAACGAAAAACTAGGAATAAATTACTTTTCATATTAAATGCATGAACATTATTAAAAAAAAGTTATTTTTTAACATACATTTCTTTTTTTACATCAGATTTTGATTACTCAGCCTTCAATGCTTATGGTCCTGAGAGGGCTAATGCAAAAACTGTTACATAGCTGCATATATTTACTTAAGTTTAAATTTGTGTAAGAATATTTCTTAATACAGAGTTGCCAGGTTTTTTTTTACCATTTTACCATAAAAAAAGTATATATATTTTTTATCAACTTACCGCTGCCACCATCGTATGATTTTATAGTGGAACCGCTGGTGTTGGATCTTTTTATTTCGCGTCGTCCCATTTTATTTGCTGGTGGCGTAGCTAAAACGGGTATTACTGCCCCCTTATTTGCTGCTGTTGACAAACTTAGTAGCTCTTCTGCTTCTCTGCTAAATTCAGCCTCAAATTCAGCTTGTGGTTGTTTTGAAAAGTGTGAATAATGTTGTCGCGATTGTTGTTGATGTTGAATAATTTTGTTTGGTTGGGGGTGGGGGTGGTGCTGCTGGCTCTTTTGCTGGTGGTGTTGGTGTTGGTGCTGGTGCAAATGTGGTTGGTAATAGTGTGAGTGATGTTGTGGCTGGTAGAAATTTTTGGGTGAATTTGTGGCGGATGTGAGGGCAGGGGTGCTTGTGGTGGATGCGGCTAACGCTACAGCTGTTGTTGTCGCCAGCGATGGGGTGGAACCGGTTGCCAATAAAGCGAGATTTGGTGGGAATTCAAAATAGTTCACCTGCAATTGATTGCACGGTGAACTGCAAGTTGCTGCTGGCGGAGTGGTTGTTGCGTCTACTCTGTGGGATGTGGATGCTGCTGCTGCTGCTGTTTTACTGCCACCTTTTATAATATCATTTGTGCGATTAGTATTGATGAGATGATTGATAGTGCCTGCAACTGTGATGGTGCTTTTTGTTTTGTTGTTGTTGTTGTTGTTGATGGTAGTGGTGGTGTTAGTAGCAGTGCAAGAGCTGCTGGCGCTGTGCGGTGTAGGTGGTGGGGGTGGACAAGCGTTGATGCTACCGCTGCTGCTGCTGCTGGCGCCAAATGATGACTTTCGCAACGATAACGGCCTCAGACCCTTAGCAGGGTGGAGTGGGTACTATCGGCCAGCAATACGAACCCAATCGCGATGGTCACTATTATACCAGACACCTGTAATGAGTACAAACATAACACAATGTAAAGTAAATGGGCGGAGTTTTTTCTTCAATGGTTGCAAATACAAACGCATATGTTTATAAAACATGCACATTAGGCTGGGTAGATTTTGAAGGGGAAAATAGATGAAATTTATTTTATATTATCATCGATATTATATCGTCGTGCTAAGAAAGCCTTCGGAGACCACCAGTTCGTGCTACCATTCGGCTTGCAATATCTAGAGGCATATCGTTCAAAATGACGTAAACCGCCAGCGTAGGCGTGGTAATTAATGACCAACTCATGCCTATTAGGGCAATCCGCTGTATGCGCTATAGTTGCTCAGCTGCTGTAGCCTCCTATAGTGAGTGCCACTAGAAAAGTGCTCCGTTGAATAAGATATTTAGGCTTAACTAAGGTTTCGTAGCGCTAATAAATTATGGACTTCGTGCGAGAGGCCTTATCTCTTTCCAACAGCTCGCCTGCAGAAGCATAAGGCAACCGACATAAGGCCAAAATTCGCCAGTTCATTTATAAGGTCACTTACAACTGCGATCACGAACTGCAGGTGTTCACACACTCTGCCACGACAGTTCTGTCGCCAAGTAAGTTGTAAATGAGTCTTATTTGGAGTAACATCTGATTCCCAATTTTTGTTTTTGCCGCAAAAAAAATTAATTCAATTTGCATTAAAACTTAAAGAAATTTAGTAAGTATAAATTTTAATGAAATGCATTGATTGAGCTAATTGCACCTAATTATATTTTAATTCATTCATTTCTTTCACCAAATAATCGATTTCATTATTTTTTCTGTTTGAGGCAATCTATTCAGGCGCTTAATTTGGCGAGCGTCAAGCCTGACCACCAAAGATTAATCAGCATTGTGCTGCTACAACAACATTAGCATATAAACCAGCAGGTTGAATGGCATGCCATTAAGCGTACAACAAAATGCAATTACCGAATTTCAATGCAGCTGCTCGAGCATGCACATTAGGCTATGAAAATTTTATAATTTATTTCCACATGCATTAGGAGCAACAAGTGTTTTAATACAAACTATAAAATTCCGTGACATTATCCATTTTATTTTGCCACAACACATAGATATGTAAATTTGTACTCGCACATACATACATTAGCGGGCTGATTGTTTAAAGGTAATTTAGAGATCGCTACCTGTCGATTTAAGTCAGAAAATAGGATTTTGTAGATTTATGAGTTTTTGAATGATTATTTTTGATTCGATTTCAAAGATCGAATATGATCTGAGAAGAGTATATATGTATAGGCCTTTAAAATGGTATATAATAATCTATTATGGGACCAGGCTTGAGTTCTATATAAAATTATATCTATTTTAAAATAAACTGATACCTCATTTGTTGCAATCGCATAAAAATTGTCGACCTTAGGTGACTTTTCTTAAATAACTTAAATTAAATTTTCGTAAACAGGTCCGTGATTTTCTGCCGATTTCGAAAATATTCAAGAGGGTAATTAAGGAGGCCAAGCAAAATGTGAGTACCAAATTTGGTCGAGATCGCTCGAGTAGTTTTTGAGATACGCATATATCATACAAGTGGGCGGTACCAGCCACATTTTCCTAAAATTTCTTGGAAAACCACTTCTTTGCTAAAGTGCGATTGTAAATATCAATTTTGAATAAACATTGATGAATTACTTAGCCACACTGCAGATGGGCCTTTATACTCATAGGAAGTTCAAAAGTTACCCAAAGTAACATCTCAAATTTGTAATCACAATGACTTATCAAGACTCAACGAAACGACGCATTTTGCTTTCCTTACTTAACTAAATCAGCTAATTAGTACTTAAGTTACATTGTATGACAATGTGAATCCCCTTCGTTTAGGTTGGAAAATGAACTAAGTACGCTTTTGATTGTGCATCCTATGTTTCTTAAATTTTTAAATATATACATAATTTTTTAAATCTAAAAAAAAAATTTTTTCACTTTGGACCACGTTAACCAATTTCTACAATCTTTTTAGAGGAAAGGTGATACCTCAGAGGCGGTCTCATATTAATTTGGTTTAGATGCGATCATTGGTTAATGAAGAAATTAACGGTAGTCTTAAATTTTTGTATAGCGTTTTTCTACAGATAGTCAACAAATTTTGCACAGGCGAGAGAAATTCTCTAAAAATGTCCGCTTTGAAAGTGGCATTAGTCATTTGGATTAGGTCTGCCAGACATATTGACATCAACACCACAAAGTGGCGGAGACTTTTTAAACTACCCAATATTTTAAAGCAATAAGCAAATCTTATTCAAAAATGGTCTCCTTAAAGATCGAAATACATGAATTATCTCTAAACCTTTCCATTCAATGATCCACAGGACTTGGTTGCTCAGAAATAATCAAAAACATATTTGTATCTTAAGTTTATGTTAATGTGGCAACATGCTTTTCTATGCCACCTTATGAATCACCCATTAGTTTTACCACACCACCGTAGCAGCAGTCGTTTCCCTTAAATATACTAAAAGTCTCTCATATTTTCTTTACCTTTTCAAATGAAGATTTTTTTTTAATCTTCAGAGGATGGTTCTTTCAAGTGATAAGCGGATTTTTGCTTAATTCATTAGCAAACAAGTATGTAAATAGTTAATTAGACAAACCACGACAATACACAATCACACATACATACATACATACTTATGAACATGCATTAGCTGCAGTCACTCAGTCATTCAATCATTCATTCATTTATCTCCGTTTATGCGCTTCTCCGGCACTTTCCACTGAATTAATGACAAGTCGTACACCAAAGTCTCGATCTTTTTGCCGCTTCTATAGAACGCTACGTCATTTACATTTCAATCGATTTCGAATTGAATTACCATCGGATGACACCAGCTGAACACGGACATGTACATGCATGTGCATACATGCGTTCAGCAGCTCTTGTCAACTACAAAGGACATTAACAATGGATGCGACAGTTGAAGGATTAATGCCATGAGCGAAGAGAAAAACCGAGACTAACCGGAAAAGAGATAAACAAAATAAAACACAAAGCAAGAAAGCTTGAACAAAGCATGAAGGCAATACAAATACCGACTATGGGGCAAAAAAGCAGAGCCCGCAAATAAGTACATAATTGTGCATGGCTGAAAAATGCTGGAAGGAAACAATTTTTAGCCCCGCTGTCGATTTCAATTTGCTTAACATTTTTCGGGAAAAAGAAAATAAAAATTCTTGTTGCTTTTGCATTGCGGAATTAATAAATTCATTTGCATTGTTGAAACGGAAGAGTGCGTACTAGCACAGAACAGCACAACATCACACAGGACAACAGAGCGCGCGGTTGATTGCCAAACGAAAATAGACCAAAACTAAAAATGCTGAACAAGGTGAAAATTTCGTTTCACCACAGAGCAACCGCCTGCACTGTCGGGCGGATATTGAGTTCTTTATCGGCACTGGCGAATGGCGCTAATGGAGTCAAGGATAACGACTTGTTGCCAAGAATACATAGATACGCATTGGCTGCATACACTCGTCTGCAATATTTTTATTATAAGAACTTTTGCTTTGTCCAATACAAAAATAGTGTTGCTATGCAAAAATGGTTTTTAATGTAAAAATTATTAGTTTAGGTTGAATGGATCGAAGAGCAGAACCTTGCTCACTCATATTCCAAGAATAACACGCTGAGATAACATTTGGGTTAGGTGTTAGTCTCCTTCGATGTTAAGAGCTTTTATTTCCACCTGTGAGATATCTGCTAGTATTGCAAGGTTTGCCGAGAGTGCGCAATCTTCTTCTTTAATCCTGCTGTTCCACAGGATGACAGAGTTTTCCCGTTCAAACGGGGTCACTGATGTTCCTACCGGTTTCTCTCTAATTCAGCACACTTCTACTTGATATACCGATGACCCGTTATGTTGCCTAGGATATCTGTGGAGCTTAAACAATTATGTGTTTCTTTGAATGCATACTTAAGGAATAAGGCTTTATTAAGTTATCTAAAATCTAAATTTTTAAAGGGGCATCTAAATATCGTGATTTCAGCGTCATCTATGTTTTGGGTCCGGGTCATACGATAAAGACGGGTTCTCTAAGTACCTCACCTCTTTACATCAAATTTCAAAGTCATGTATCGACTCCAATTGAGACCAAAATTTATATGCGATATCTTCGAATAGTATCGATTTTGGGTATTAGATGAAAAAAAAATAATTTTAATTTTTGCAGTCTCCATAGAGGAATATGAGCTTTGGCCCCTGTGCGACACGCTTTAACCGTCTCTAATCGGGACCAAAATTTTTGTGTGATATCTGTGACCGTGGTATTACCGATAAAAGGGTGATGTAAGTCCAAAAGTCGAAATGGTGCCGCAGAAGGCGCGTTTATTTCCCTGTATCGTGCTATATTTGAATGCCAACGTGAATTTTTTCTTGGCCAATCAGATGTTTCATTTGGCTCGCTGGCTTAAAAATTAGTTTCGCTTTGCTATTTGAGTGGGCTATGCAAAAATTCTTATTTACACCAATTTAGTGACGTGTATTTGGCGCATTCGGTTTTGTGGTCATGTGTTACAAATTATCAAACCTTAAGTGATTTAGGAAATGTATTAAATCTAAAAGTTATGTACCAGTGTACTTAACTGGAAAAAATGTGCCATATATTGTATATTTTGGCCAATTTGGCAACCGTGATAAAACCGCCTGTGAAATCAATTGATGATCGAAGACTACAATCGGCATGACATACATATATACTTGTGTACATAACTATAAAAATTAAACTTATGTACTTGCATTAACTGCCTTTTACTGCGTTACTGAAACAACATTTTATTCAAATATCTGCTTTAGCTATGAAGTTCAATTTGTTTTCCAATTAAAGTTTGAAGGGAAAATTGTACAAGTCAAATTGTACCGTTATTTGTTGTAATGCGTT